TAGACTCCTCTTTTAAAATTGCTATCCATTTAATCCCTTTCTTCAAATGGTACATACATGTTGTAGTTAATTTTTTATTTTTCTTTTGTTTCAACTTCATTTGCATACATAACCATACCCAACAACAATAGAAAAGTAAAAATTACCAGTGAGATAAAATTTTAACTTCAACATGTACCAGAGTTCTTGTGTGATCCCAGGGAATTACTGAAAGCTCCTGATAAGACAGATATTGTCTAGACAAGGCAACACGTGCAGAAACCACCTATGCAAACAGTTTAGGATTAATTTCTGGATATGTGGGACAAGAGGCGATTTTCAATAGTACTGCTGATGACACGCAAAAATGAGGGCATACTCTAAGTAGTAGTAACACCTTTTTCAATAGGGTTTATAATAATAATATTAACAGTGTTACTACTACTAAGAGTGTGCCCTCATTTTTGCGTGTCATCAGCAGTAATAGTGAAAGTCACCTCTTCTCCCACATATCCAGAAATTAATCCTTTTAGTAGTTTCATAGGGCCATAACGGAGAATACAGTGTGACGATAATTATAACAGTCACACTGTATTCTCTTTTATGGCCCTATGAAACTACTAAAATCCCAAAATGCTTAAAAACTAAAATACTAAGGGAAAATTAATTTAAATATCAAGTTTAAGAAAACTAAAACTGTTCTGTCAATTCTAAAACTCCTAGGGGACAATTGATATTAATTTACTCGTGAATAAAAACTTAAATAAGTACTTTAACTGAATAAAATATTAAAATAGTAAGTCATTTGAATACTGTAAAAATTGTCAATTTTAAAACTGTCAGGCGTGAATTTAAACATGTCTGAATCAGTAATTTCTTTTAAACTTTTTTACATCAGAACAGCAGACTAAACAGTGGCAGATCCAGACCTTCAGATAAGAGGGGGGGGGGGGCAGTCATCCAGACCCTGAGATAAGGGGGGGACCCAGTCTCAAAAAAAAATTTATTGCCCCTTTGGGCCTCATTTTGGTCTAAAAATAAGGGGGGGGCCCCTCTGGGCCCTAACCTGAGATCAGGCGTTATTTTTTTTTTGCTTCTTTAGCTCGAGGGGGAAAAAAAAAAACCCTGATACATTTATTTAACAAGCAGTCAACCGCCCCCTAATTTACATAATCTAACGTCTGCTTGACCTGTCATGTTATTAGCCAATAAGCGTTTACCATACGGGAATCAAATTTTGGCGCGAATCATGTCTCCTTTGAAATCAATTTTAGGGAAAAGAAAATTTTTAAATACGTCCATGTTAAGATGGCGCTTCCTAAAAAAAAAATTTAATGTGTTGTTTTTGTGATGAAATACTGCTAGCTGGAGCTGCCTTACCTTTATTTAACAGCTACAAATAATAAAGAATTTACTGGTCAAAGCTCTTTGACTTCGTTCTGTGCCGAAAGCAGTGAAAAAAAAAATTAGGCTGAAGCACCATATTTCACGAACTGAAAGGTGTTGTGAAAGCGAAGATCGCTCAGGATAATTCGCAGCATGATCCTTGAGCCGTGTTTTGATGTAATAATGAGCGCCTTTTTCCCGAGAAATATACAGTGAAAGAACATATTTCTAATTCTAAACTAGAAAAAGGCAATCATTATTACACCAAAACACGGCACGAGGATATTTTTCCCATTAAAATCTTATTCTAAGAAAACTTTAAGAAAAAATGTCCCGAAAAGCGCTCGAAAATACAAACGAAATGTGCTCATGCCCCCTGGGCATCCTATAATACTCCTTAAATCGAATTAATTCAATATAGCCACCGTATCGGTAAAAAGGTCTATTGAGCTTATCAGACTCTAAAAGATAATTGCCATCTCATGATTTAGACTCCACGTGGCTTTGTTCCTAGCAAATTGAATTTTGTTCCACAGATCTCTATGGATCTGATTCTTCTCTTTACAGTCTTCATCTTTAGCATTGTTGGGGGATGTATCAGCGTGCAAAGAAAGTAGTGTCCGATAGCCCGAGGCTATAGTGGATTTTGCTATCGGGCTAGTGAATTCTGTTATTAACTTGCCTGATGGACAAGTGAAGTTTTTTTAGGAAATCAAATTATGGAAGAACTGTGAAATCAATTCTGCTCATCAAAATGTATTTGGGGTAGCTGAAATGATGTTTGGGCTAGTATACGCTAGTTTCAGCTTGCCCGAATGGCAAGCTTTAAAAATGACTTTCTTTGCACCCTGTCTATGCGTATAAGGCTGAATAATTGTGTTCAGCTTGATTCACAATGTTATACTCATGTAGGTCAGTGGGGTTATCTAGCGTAACTAACTTATCCAAGGGTATTCGAGAAACATTTTCCATTCGACTTTTCCTGAAATTAAACAGCAAATAAAGACCAATCCCAGCTGCTAGTACACCAACAATCACAGCACCCACAATTGAACCTATCTGTGCAGCTGTGAATCCTCCTTCTTTGCTTGCCTGAGATGAGCTATCTTGCAATGGCTTGATTTCATACGGACTTCCTTTAAAACTGTACTTGCCTTCTTTGTTACGTAATTGAATATAAACATTGTAACTGTCTGCAGAGTTGAGTCTTTGCAGTAGAGTTCTGTTTGATGAAGCACTTATATTATATGTATAGTTCCCCTGCGACAAATGCTTGCGGCTTAGCAGACGGTACTCAGTGTAGAGGACATATTGTCCTGGAGTGCCTTTCCAAGAAGGTTGTTTTACCGGCGTCCATTCCACAGTCACATTTCTCAGAGATTTATCATCAGGAAAACGCACAGAGTGATCAAGCTGAACCACCGGTGGATTGATTGGACGTGCTGCTGGTGTCCAGACACATTTTGGTCCTAGCACATTACTTGGCGCACTGAGCTTTTCATCAGGAGTCAATATTTGTAACGTGACATAGAAGCAATACTTTGTATTTGCTTCCAGCTCTTTCACTATTGTGAATGTGGTTTTCTGTGTCACTTCCTTGGTCTTGTTAGCCTTATTTTCTGCATGATATGTTACTTTGACAATTAGTGTTTTATAACGGGAATACACTGAATCAAGTTTCCATTTTACCCTCACATCTCCTGTCTGTTCAGTCAGAACAGAGAAGCCTGTAGGCGGTAGAGGAGTAGCTAAATGCCTTCCAATGTATGGTGCAAAAATGCACCTTTCAGCAGTTCCAACTTCATTTGAGGCTACCACACAAATAGTATAGTCCCCAAATTCCCCAATGCCTGGGAAGAAGACTTCTTTCTCCAAAACGCAAGAAAATTCCTTATTTGCACTTAAAATGTTCGTGGGTTGGCATTGAGGGTTACTACTCCATTTGCAGGAATAATTATTATGGTCTGCATCTACAGAGTCATTTGTAGAAAGTTTCACAGAGTAGTTGACAGCTAAACCGCCAGTCTCTTGTGATGCAGTCCAATAAACATACCACTTTCTGAGTCCCAGTGGGCCAACAACGCTTCTTCTTAACATCCGTGGTGGGCTTGGACCTGTTCTTCCACTACTCGAAGACCCATCAACGATTGCTCCATAAAACATACACAATACGAAAATGTTTACAAGGAAGTAATTGTTCATTTTCCTTGTTTTATAACTAGTTCCATTCGGCAACCAAGTGGTCCATGTTTATCAAATGCAAAGTATAATTTCCGTTAAAATATACCCAGATTTTCCCATTCCAAATAAGTAAATATGGTTGCTAAAAGTCCTTGTTTTCTCGTTTGATCTGCCACCATACCACCACAAAAACTTTCTCTCTTCCAAAAATTCTTCCGAACTCTTTCACTCTCTCAAGACCACGTGACGAGGAAACGACGGGCTCTGGGTACTAGAAATTCTATAGCAGCAAGACCACGTGCGAGGCGACTTGTTTGGGGAAGAGCTTTGGAACAAAATTGGCACGATGAAGGTCGACGCCAATATAAAAGACCAAGGTGATGGTAGTTACCAAGAGCCATTATGGCTCTTGTAGTTCTAACCGGATTTTTGAAAACGTCATCGCCAAATGGTCCTTTTGCGTCCAACAGAGTTTTTTCGGCTAAAAACGACAAAAACTGTCTCCAAAGTAGCTATTAAAAAAACGAAGAGGGCAACCATTGCTTTTTTCCCCTTCTCCTCGCCCTTTCTTTTTCTCCTTTCCTTTTCTTTCGTTGCTGTGATTGTGGAGCTTCTCGGACTTAAGAAACATGCCGCCGTGACGCCTTTTCAATCAAATGACTGAAAATTTCGTTTGGTTGGTTTTCAAAAAATCGGCTAGAGTTTCTTAGCAACTTATACTGTTCCTTACACTGTTCCTTTGGGTTTAAAGTCAGTCAAGCTGCAAATCATCTCAGAGAGGGGGAGGTGCGCACCCCCTGCACCCTCCCCTTAGATCCGCCCATGTTACCCGAGTTTCTCTCCACTCATTTGATATATTAGTAGAAAAAAGTGTATAAATGTTAAAATTGTCGTTGCTTTTGTCAAGAAGGTATTGAAGAGCTCCTCGACTTAAGTTATTTTCTAGAGGTTTCTGAAAAAGAGGCCAAAAACATCCAGAAAATAAAGCTGGAAAAAAGACAGCCATTTCACTAATAAAAGTTGATTTACCATAAGGGATTTTCTGCAGTCTTCTGTCCCTTTGCCTTTTTTATTTTATTTTTCGAATTATTTAATATGAGATTCACAGCAAACAAAAAACCTAAGAACTAAATTTTTGGTTTTTACACCTAACCCCTTATTTTTTGTGTCGGTCGCACAAATTTTAAAACATTCATATGCGAATTTGCATAACTGATTACTGAAGAGGCAGAACCGTGCACGAGGGAATGAAGAAAAAATGTAAAATTGATTGTTTGTGGCTCGAACTGACAAAATGAATATCTAATTTTTTTTAGCACGTTTTTCGGTCGGCAACGGCCAACATGGCGAACGAAGGCAAACCTAAACGCAATTTTCTAGTCTTTTTTGAGGCAAAGAAAAACTTTCTTTCGCCATGGTTGTAAAAAGAAGGAAAAGCTTCCATGACGGTTAGAATGGAGAAAGGCCAAAGGCGGAAACGTAACTTCAGAAAACTTTTCCATGGAACAGTGGGACGGTTAAAACCACGAGGAATGGCAACGTTGGACATGTACTCCGCTTCTAAAAGTGTCTTTATTGAAAAAGGTACTAAACTTAAATTAAAAGTTGCTTTGTAGCCGATTATACGCTTAAATGTTATATTTTACGCTGGAAGAGATTTTCTTACCTTGCGAGCAGGAAGATCGAAGGGCCTCTGCTCGCAGGGTAAGATTTTTTATGAAGCCTGCGGACAGCCGGATTTCAGCGCCGCAGTTACGAGGAACAAGTTTGATTCCACATCATAGACAATAATCATTCTTTGTTTCTTCTTTTCGCGTCTTTGTTTCTTTCCTTATTTTTTCGAAGACAGTTTTGTGGGAGTTGTTCTGCTAGTGCTTCTGTCATTTCTCTCGCAACGAAAACTTCTTTATACTGACAATAAGAAAACCTTCTGAAACTTCAAGGGGAACTCGGGCGGTTGGGAGGGGATGGAGGGACCTTTTCTTAGACAGACCCGACTTTTTTTAAAATTCTACATCGGTTTGTTTACAGGCTGTTTCCTCGACAACATCATAGGTCTTGTGACTCGGATCGTGAAGAGTGACACCCTCGATTCACTTTCATTATTTTTTAAAGCTTATTTGAAATTATTTGGTAAGTGGTATAACTTTTACCTTAAGTTGTTCGAAAATAATTGAGAATGGTTCTTTGTTATCTCAGGGTTGTTTAACGGCTTATTGTGTAGTTTTACACATTTACGGCGTCAGAAATAACCAGTTCACTGGTATTATGAGATGTGAGGGCAGAGGCACCCAACGTCGTTGTCCTCCTAAATGCATTTAACACACTTTTTAGGCTATCCAGAGTACTTTTAGATCTCTAGAAATACATTCTAATCGGCGCTATAAAATTTGTATCTGTTCGGTCATCCTAGAGCGACTTGAGTCTTTTCGAAATTACATGAGCTTCAGTATTATTTTCCCGAAAATTGTAGATGCAATTTGTATAGGTAATAGCATGATTTGTAGTGATATTTGGCATAAATACCACGAGTGATATTTCGAAAGTGTTATACGTAATTTCACGAGCCGTTAGGCGAGTGAAATTTGAGACAATTTTGCAATATCACGATTGGTATTTATGCCAAATATCACGTACAAATCATGCTATTATTTGTTTATACCACTACCCGCAAAAAGTTTGTAATTTTCACATGTAGGTATTTCAAATTAAGCTGAAATACCACTGCTCTAAGCCAATCAAATTGCAGAAATTTCTCATGTAGTGGTATAAAAAGTTTTACGAAAGTGAGGATATTTCTTATTCCTCTCTCGTACAGCGTTAACTACCTTTTATTAAAACAACTGCCTTAATTAAGATCCCAGGAATGATTAGTTTCCACCCTGGGTTGTCATATAACTGACCGGGTATGAATAGGTAACAACATTTTTGTTGGAAAAAAACGTTACCGTTTTTTTTCAGCACGCGGAAGAAGATGCATGTCACGTGGCGTTGAAATCGAGAAGACTGGAACCAATGTTCAAAATGGCGGACAAGGCAGGCGAATTGTGCAGGCGAAACGTTGGATTTCAACCATCTAAAAAGACCACAAAAGGCCAGTTTTTGATATTTTTTCATGGAAAGATATTATTGTATACGTATTCATTGAAGACGATATGTAATTTTCACATGACAACCGAGTAGAATCAAATTTTCATAGCCGTCGCGGGAGACGAGTTGTCGTCAACAATTTATGATGTTTATATTTTGAGAGGTCGAAGAGGGCCTATTATGTTCGGAAGTTTTTCTTATTTAGGATGAGAAATGTCTAGCCCTGAACCTTAAATTTCGCTGGGAAACTGGAACGTTTCTGGAATTGATGAGCTGATGTTATCTGAATCCGTACTAAAAAATTCAAATTTGTGGTCTTTGCTGTCAGATCTCCTGTGAAGGTTTGTGTGAGTCAGAGATGGGCGATTTATCCCAAGTACACAGAAATGAAAATGGGATGACTTAAAAAAGGTGAGTTAATTGACAGCATTTCGGTGGATATTAATCCTGATTAACGTAAACGTAGCCCTTTGGAAAGGTGACAGCTTTGGAAACTGAAACTGGAACCTTCTTGCAGGCTGGAAGGGTGTTGGTTTCCCGCCATCTTTATGGGGGTGGGAAGGTGGGAGATGGAAAATGGAACTTTATGTGAAATGAATTGCTGGTCTTTCCTGAGGTAATCATGGAAGTTTGAATTTTCAGCAAGAATCCTTGTTAAAAGAAAATAAAAAACGGAAGAAGCCCAAGGTTGCTGCCTAAGAAAATTTTTCGGGAAAAAGTTAGGAGCCTGAGCCACATTTCTAGGAGCCCTTTCAAAAAAAATAAGCAATGTGTGACAACTGCTGCACTTATCGTTTGATCGATAAGCTTCAAATTTATCATATATCCAACTCAACGGCACAAATAGTAGCATAGTAAAGGGTCAACTAACATTCAAGGACCAATCTCCCTTTTTTTGTGCTAGAGGTACTTTACTTCATGTATTTTGAGAACAGTGGAGCCAGGGTATATAAACCTAGTTTTAATTAGTTCACCAGAATGCCCCTATTGATATTTTCTGTATCTTAAGTTGACAGCCTTGACTAGGTCCTCGAAACTTGATTCACGCATCTCAGAACCTAAGTTTCCCTCAGCCATTTAACTCCCCACCAGCTGACCACTGCGCTCTACTATCTGATCACCTGGAACAGGCTACCATTTAACGCTACAAAGGAGCGTTGTGTGACGAGATCAATGGAAGACTCCAATTAATCAAGTTTTGAAACACGAAAATCGAGTCTCAAGTTTCGAGAAACCAGCATTTTTAATATTCACCACCTGAAAAGATTTCGAGAAAGGATTTATTTCTCGAGAAAAATGACAAATTATAACCTTTTGCACGTACAACAAAAGCACTAACCAACAGCACTTGCATATACAATTTAAGCAAAGTTAAGTTTAAGTTTTTAGGCGATAAAAAAGGACCAGTGAAAGGTTTTTTATCTTGAAGTTTGGAAAATTGACTCAGTATTTTTGTATTAAGTCTGTCTCTTGAACTAGCAAAACTATTTTTTATATTTGTGAAAGCATGTATTTACGTGCATGAGTGTACCAGCATAAATTAAAAAGAGATGGAAATATGACCTTGAATAGCCGCCGTGAATGATTTTCAAAAACTGAAGTGTTTTTGCAAACCTTTCAAAAGTTACCACAAAATGTACCCTGAAATATAGGGTGGCCTAGATAACGCTGAATAAATGATAAAAGTTATTGGGCAGGTGAAATTTCTTTAGGGAATTCAAATTATAGAAGAACTATAATCAATCCTTCTTATTAAAGAAAAAATTTCAGGCTAGTTGAAATGTTGACCTTTGGGATAGTACATGCTACAATCGGCGACAAAATTGTTGAGACATTGTACTTAACTGGGGTAACTTTAAAGAACAAAACAATCCACGCCCTTTACCCCTCCTCTCCATCCTAAGTTGGGGTGTTTGTTATTTTCTACAAGTAGCTTGAACAGCAGCACAACATTGCATGGAGGGGATAAGGGAGGGAAAGCTTTATTTTTCCTATTTTTAGTTAGCAAAATGTTAGGGAGGCCCTTTAGGGCAAATTGTCTCAACTAATTTTGTTGCCGGTTGTAGCTACAAATTGCCCAGATGGGAAGCTTTAAAACTGACTTTCTTTGGACCCTGGACTGTATAATTAATACTTGACAAGCAGAGCTGTCATTAAGGGCCATAACCCATAACACCTGTTATGGCTGAGCTCACCTAATGTTACATGTGAGTAAGGTGGAAAGCTAAAGGTGACACTATAAATTTTTCTGAGATGTTATGGGTGAATCTTCATTCACTACGGCTGCTTAAAAACTTAATGACAGCCCTGACAAATCAACTGTGTGAAGGGTCTGTGATGCAAAGTTGTTGTTTTGCCGATCTAAACCTGGAGAAGATGGCAAGAAAAGTGAAATTCAATGCAACCAACCCTATCCCATACGCATTTTATACATTTGTTTGAATTTGAATCTAAGACGACACAAGAATGGTAATGATTCAGTGATGTGTATTTCAGATGCATTATGTATGGCCACTTTGCTTTAACACATCTTTAATTGTGGCAACTCCTTTTCTATGTTACAGGACTGGCCATGGTCTGGGATCAATGGTGGAGACCATGAAAATCCCGTAGAGATTTGTTGGACTAAGTAAGTGGGTGTGATCTCTGCAGGAAAAACTGTTTGAACTATAGGCTAACATCTACTTTGTCTTGACTTTTTTGAGAATTTTCTCACATTATGACACTAGTTGCTGGTTTTCGAGGCCAGAAACATTGCCAAATCTTGCATGCATTGTTGCCTGAGAAAACAAACGACATTTTGTGACGCCACTACCGGTTTCCCCTGCGAAATGACGTTTGAGAAACGAGTGCTGAAATTCCATACTGATGATGCATCACTACCCAGATCTGGGTAGTGTTTCAGATTGGTTGAAGCAAGTTTCACAAGTGGTATGACCAATCAGAAACACTACCCAGATCTGGGTAGTGACGTGTCATCAGTATGGAATTCTGCACTCGTTTCTCAGACATCATTTTGCGGGGAAACCGTTATTTGTGTTGCAAAATGTTGTCTGTTTTCTCAGGCTATATGCATTGCAGTTCTATATTTTCTGAGCTTTACTTTATTTACTTCATGTAATTAATGGAAATCTAATTAGTGCAAATCAAAGCACACAGTTGAATTTAAGATAGCAGCCACTTTCCATATTTAAACAGCAAAGAGGGCATTGAAAAACAGAATTTTCTATGCAATGTTTCCACCATTTTTTTCAAATGAAGACGTGAAAAAAATTGATTCTTTTACATTTAAGAGTAGATTTTGAAGTTCCAGTGAAAGTGTTTCTTCTTCTTATTGTTCTTATTTAGATGATCTGAATGCTTTGTGGTAATCTTACTATTTGAACATAGGTAGTTCTTGTTCTTTTTCTTTAAAATAATAGCATTCAATTCTGTTGAAGTTGATTTCCTTTAATATCAACATAAATTTTAGGGTAATTTTGCGCCTTTTCAGTCACTGGATGTGGTGGGGAACAGATCATTAAACTTCAGTCAGAATTTGGAGGCAAAATACAAGCTGCCCTAGGTAATGAAGCTATTATGACCATGAAAAAATGGCCATGTACCATTGAATTGTTAAGATAATTATGTATAGTTTCAAACTGAATGAAAACTGTATTGTCTTCTTTGTTTGTTAGACCCACCTCCTGGACAGATTACACCTCTAGAGAGACATGTTATTCAAGCTGGAATTACCCTGGCTGCTGGCACCAGACTTGTCCACCAATGAATCCTTGTAAGTAACTTTTGTTTCATTCAATTATGACTCGAGGCACTTTCCATTTGTCAGAACTGGCCGGCCAGACCATTGCCCGATCAGTCAGTTTGAAAATCAAATAGGCTTTTTCCAAGAGTTTTTGTTGAAAAACCATCTCCTTCGTGCATACTATTCAGGATTTGACTGATCTAGCTGGAGAGTTTTGGTTAAAAGAAAAGTAATCATTGCGACAAGAATGGTCTGTCCAGTCAGATCTGACATATGGAAAGCACCCTAAATTTGTTAAAGACCTGCATCATCAGATGGGGCCATTCTAGAGTTTTCTTTAGTCTGGCTTAATGGCTGTCATGGATGAACCATACATGTAAATCCATGCCCAAGGTAATAGTGGGTATTCATGTGTGAAATTATCTTCAGCATGCAAAGAGGGTCATCTGGATTTTGAGATTGGTGTAGTGAATTCTTTTCCTAATATCATAGGTGACGAATTACTCCTTAATTTTGGCGCGGAATTTCAGCGATAATTTGTAATTTCACATGTGAAATTATAAAATTGCCATGGCAACCTTCCGTACATCTCAGTGTCAAGATGGCGACGAAGTTTTAAAATATCATGAATGAAGATGCCAGGGCATGAAAAGACACTTTAGAAAACCTGAACACATGAAAGAGCACATCAAAACCTAGATTCTAACAGGTATTTTGTTGAAAAATTCTGAATTTAGCCAAATTTAAGCTCTAAACGTTCGAGAGATCTATCCAGGATAAACATGTCAAAAATCCAAGATTGCTAATGTAATTCGTCACCCATGATATCAATAGGTAATGAAATGGTATACTCGTGAAATGACAGCCAAGCCTAAGGTCATGGAAGCCTTGAAAAGGTCGTGGGAAAGTCATGGAAAGTCATGGACTTTTAAGAGCTCAAAACAATGTGAACCCTGTCTCGCTACAATGCATTACAGTTTGTATGTTTTCAGTGGCTCTAGTGAAGGTTACATGAGTGCTCGCGGTCTTAAAAAGTCGTTGAGTTTCGGAGGAAGTCTCTTTGAAATGCCACTGAGTTTAATAAATTCCTCTAACCCTTAAATCTTTTCAAGTATTCTTTACAAGAACACTCTTACAGCAGCATTCAGTCTCGCTTGCTGAGAGATAAGATTGAGAAATAAGCAGGCGATTGATTCTACACAAAACAGGATTTACTCGCTAAAGGTTTTTTACTTCCTACTTTAT